TTGAGAAAGTGGAGTTGAACTTCAATCATTCAATGTGGCGTCTCACATTGAGTTTGGTATGGATGTTAATTTGAAATTTAATTCAATTAAAACCTATTCAATTTTTTTACTCAAATAGATAATAAATATAAGGGTAAACTATACGGATGATTACTTATATTTGTGTTTTGTTCACTTTTGGTTACTGATTTCGAAATATTTTAAGACATGATCACCTTCGTTCTTATTTTATTAAAATGTGGTCACAACGAGTTAACTACCGTTAAATATTTTGGTATAATCACACATTTAGTCTCTGTTATTTACATATCTTCTCGATGTAGTCATACTTTTAATAAATTAAAATAAATTTAATATTTCAATCGAATGATGCCACTGTCATTAGTACCACATTTGGTGTCACGTATCACAATTTGATTGAAAGATTTTTATTTTAATTTATTTTAATTTAACAAAAAAAAAAGCAAATTGGTGGAAAATAAATATATTAAATTAAAATAAAGTTAGTCTTCTAACTAAATAGTGACACATGACACAACATATGACACCAGTGACACACGACATCAGTGACACACAACATCATTCGATTGGATTGTTAAATTTATTGAGGTCGTTCGATGAATCGGTGCTCATACCCTCTTAATGTTATTGCCGTGGGGACCGCTTGCAGTGGGAAAAATAAAGATTTGAATTAGGGGAAAAAGCCTAAAATAGGGTCCCAACTCAACCAATGGATGGTGTTTATCAAGCCCCATCCACATAAACTTTTCCACCCCTTTTTTTTTTTTGTGGGTAAATTATACGTTTACTTGTTGAATTTTATTTTCTCTTATATTTCACTCATCTTACTTTCAATTTTTTCAATTTGTTTATTGAACTTTAGATATTGAACTTTTTTGTCACTCGATTGTTAAATTTATAACGACAATAAATTAAAATTGAAAAAAATTAAAAGTACAATGAGTGAAATAAGAGAGAGAATAAAGTTCAGTGAGTAAACGTGACATATTTTATTATTAAAATAAGTCACGTAAGCACCCCGTTATTGAGTAAATGGTTGAGTGACAAAAAAAAGTTCAATGTCTAAAATTCAGTGAGCAAATTAAAAAAATTGAAAGTACAGTGAGTGAAATAGGAGAAAGAGTAAAGTTCAGTGAATAAGCATGTAATTTACTCTTTTTTATTAAAGCTAGAAAACGAATTTATGATTTCATAAGATAAAACTCTTTTTTCTTCATTATTTGCTTCAATGTTTTGCACCACATAAAACATATATAATATTATACTACCTTTTCCTATTAAATTTATTTTGTTAATTTTTTATGTTTGACTTATTATTATTTATAAAATTATGAAAATATATTTTAAAACCCTTAAATCAAGTAGCTTTTTAATATATATTTTATAAAATTTAATTATTTAAAATATTTAAAATAATCATGATCAAATTTTAAATATTTTAACTTTTAAAAATTTAATTATAGACATATTTATTGAACGAAGAGAGTATATTTTATTGAATTTTAAAATAAGTAACGTGAGGTTTGCACAAGATTGAGGTTTTATATATGGTTCTAATTTGGAAGTCTTATTTTGATGCTTTTATAGAAAGTAAAAGAACGACCCGAATCAAACGTTTTAATGTTTAAAGGGATGATTGTTATCTTTAGAAGTCACGGGTTTGAGCACCAGCGACTGTAGGGTATTTCATATTTGAGCATTTATTATCAAATGATTAATAATCTTTAGAACAAACATTATCACTTGTAATCACCATAGATTAATAAAAAATGTATTTGATTGGTTTGATTTATTTTAATTGGGAAAAGATAAAAATCGAAGCATTTAATTCTACTTTTTTAAAAGGTGGTTTTGTATGATTCAACAAGGAACGTGCAAAACGAAACATCGATAAGAGCCTCGTTAAAAGACCTCCATAGATCCAGGTAGAAGAAAAAGAGTGTGTCAAATCGACGTTTTTTCATCGTTCAAGATTCAGTCACACCAACCCGACACACACCAGCAATTTGCTCACTGAACTTCATTCTCTCTCCTATTTTGCTCATTAAACTTTCAATTTGTCTAATTTACTCACTGAACTTTTGAATTACACTTGTTTTGATTACTTTGAATTATTTTATTATTATTTTCATATGATGTGACATTTATCATTATTATTTAATATAAAATTATTTAAAATATAAAATAAAAATAGAAGTTGGTGGAACGCCAACTCTGGCCATTGTCGTAGCCGTGGATGGTGATCATTCGATCTCTGATTTCATGGGTTAGTTCGTCTAGACCTATGAGTCAGAATCTGGTGGTTATTACACCGAAAAATGTCCCAAAACTTATGAATCTTAACTGAAACATTTCAGCTTCTCACTTTCGATCTCCAATTCATGGACTTCGAAGTAAGTTCCGACAAAATGGAGGTCGGATTCGGATTCAGATCTCATAAGAGGTACCCTCCATTTACTCTATTTGTTCTTATATTTTAAATTTTGTATTTGGATCTGCCACTGCATTCTTTTCATGTCTAGAACAGGTCGATTTGATTATGATTAAGATCTTCTGTCTAATTGTAAATGGAACTGGATTCGTTTCTTTTGAGAATGAGCTTATTGTTTATAAATTTAATTTCATGAATCTGTTTATGTTAATCGGATTTGCAAGATATTTCTAGATGAGATTGATTAATCAATTAAAGTTGTAGCCTTGCTAATGATCTCTCTATATATGCTTTCCTGAGAAAAAATGGTGCAATTTTGATGCAAGAACTATACAATCTGTGCTGGTTCACCCTATTTAGTAGACTCATCCCTCCTTGAATTGTTTTGCAATCTAATCTGCAGCTTTGTTAGCTGTTCTGGCAATCTTCTTAAGCACCAACTCCTCAATGCAGTCTTCAATATCATCTCTGTCTTTTTTCATTTCATTGGAACTAATCTCCAATTATACAGTCATTATTATTCCTTGGCATGGACGGATACAAAATTTTTATTAGGAGACGAATTTGTAAAATTTTAGAGAGGAGTAAACCTATAAAGTTTAAAATGGCGAAAACAGATTATCAATAGAAAATACACAAAAAAATCTAAAATATGTTCAATGGAATTATTGTGTCTCTCACACATTGGACACTTTGGATCAGTTCTGATTCTTCTTTTGACCAAACTTAAGTTTGAGCCAAGGCATTTTTCACTGCTCTCCAATTGTTCTACACCTTTGATTGTGTATGAAAGAGTCTCATACAATTTCCATGTGATAACTTGGACAATATGAAATGAGCTTGGACTCATCTGCATCCTCCTATGCAGTTTCTCCTTTAGCTTCAAGCAGCCAGTTCTAGCAGTATATTCTCCATTTGATGTACCAGGCCATGTAATTCTGTCTTGGCCCCCACTCTAGCAGAAACCTTTGTCTTTTGAATACCAACCATTTCTAATTGTCTTTATATTTTAATTGTATGTTCATCTCTACTACTTGATTTTGGAAAGTAGAAATATATTTACGATGAAATTCTGCATTAGTTCTTCATACAGTGAAAATCTTAAGTTGAATTTGGAAATATTTGCAGACTTGTTTTGGATTCTATTACTATAAGACCTTGTTGAGAGTTAATTTGTTGTTTTTCAGCTTAATTTTTCATAAGTGACATTAATTCAGTGCCTTGCGATGTTTTCAAAGCGCAGTTATGGATACATTCCTATTCACTTCCGAATCCGTCAATGAAGGCCACCCCGACAAGATTTGTGATCAAGTTTCAGATGCTATACTTGATGCATGCCTAGAACAAGACCCGGAAAGCAAAATAGCTTTTGAGACTTGCACCAAGACTAACATGGTTATGGTCTTCGGTGAGATCACAACTAAGGCCAAAGTTGACTATGAGAAAATTGTCCGTGATACTTGCAGAGGTATAGGGTTCACAGCTGATGTTGGCCTTGACGCTGACAACTGCAAAGTTCTGGTTAACATTGAGCAACAGATTCCTGATATTGCTCAAGGAGTTCATGGCCACCTCACCAAGAAGCCAGAGGAAATCGGGGTTGGCGATCAGGGTCACATGTTTGGTTATGCCACAGACGAAACCCCCGAGTTTATGCCACTCACGCATGTTCTTGCAACCAAGCTTGGTGCCAAGCTTACTGTAGTGAGGAAGAACAAGACGTCCATGGCTGGGGCCTGATGGTAAGACCCAAGTGACAGTTGAGTATCGAAATGATGGGGGAGCCATGGTCCCTGTTCGAGTTCATACGGTCTCATTTCGACCCAACATTACGAGACTGTCACCAATGAGAAGATCGCTGCGGACTTGAAAGAACATGTCATTAAGCATGTTATTCCCGCAAAGTATCTCGATGACAAAACCATTTTCCACCTTAACCGATCTGGTAGGTTTGTTCTCGGTGGACCTCATGGAGATGCAGGACTCACTGACCGAAGGATCATTATCGATACCTATGGTGGCTGGGGTGCTCATTGTGGAGGTGCCTTCTCAGGAAAGGACCCCACGAAGGTGGATCGTAGTGGTGCATACATTGTTAGGCAGACAGCAAAGAGTGTGGTTGCCTCGGGCTTGCTCGCCGCTGTATCGTGCAAGTATCCTATGCAATCGGTGTGCTGGAACCATTGTCGGTTTTCGTTGACACATACAAGACCGGCAAGATCCCAGACAAGGATATCTTGCAGTTGATCAAGGAGAACTTTGATTTCAGGCCAGGAATGATCTCTATCAATCTCGATTTGAAGAGAGGCAAGTTTAGGTACCAAAAGACTGCTGCTTACGGTCATTTCGGACGTGATGACCCAGATTTCACTCGGGAGATTGTCAAGCCTCTTAAACCAAAAGCCTAACTCGGTTTCATTACATCGAAATTTCAGCAAATGATTATTATAGTAGCCATGATTCTGTTATACAGCATAAGAATAAAGAAACATGTAATTTTTTCTCTATATATAAATTATCTATTATTATTGTATTCAAACTTTGTTCCTAATGAAGAACACCATTTGTGCTACTATGCTTTGCTCAATGATAGTCATTCGTATTTGTTGCCATTTCACAGAAGATGTAATCATAAAATTACCTCAAGGACAGCAAATGAACATAATTCTTTTATGAATGTACCAACAAACGATCGTGCAGCCGCTCTTCACCGGCACCGAACATCTCATCCACTCTTTTGCCATCTCGATAAAAATGAAATGTGGGAGTGTAACGAATATGCTGCGTTGTTTCGGGGCATTCATCGATATCTGCATAAACGAAAGATAGCTTTGGAAACTGGTTGCTCAACTTGCAAAATGCAGGAAGGATCTGGCTACAAACACCGCACCTGAAACAAGAAAAGTTAAAAGAAGTTCAAACAAGATCATGGATAATCAGCTAAACTAAACTGAGTTTAAACATTAATCAACAAGCATCTTTCATTTTCTCGATTCCTAGCCCTGTTCTATATAGGGGTGCTTATCGAGCAGTCGATCACGAGTTAAGTAGTGTTCAACTAGACTTGAAAACTGTTCGACTCGTGCTGGACATGTTGCTTGTTAAACTCGATAAAATACAACAAATTAACATATTGCAATCGATGTAACAATAAAAAATACACCAGACTAATGTAATACAACAATTCTTGAAAAAAAAAGTTTAAGAATACATAATCAAATACCAAAAGTAAGGCAATCAACATCCTAAAAAAATATTAAAAAGACTAACGAGTTACTCGCGAACTTATGAAGTCGAATCCAATTTTGCTTGACTTAACTCGTTAAGTTCTCGAGTTGAGTCAACTCGAGTCAGTGTTAATTGCGTCTTGATCGATTCAAGATCGAGAGAGCTCAGCTCGGTTAAAACCCCTAATTCTACAACAACCCACTTCCCAAATTTGCTTTCACTCCCAAATCCTCGTTCCACTCTTCCACAGAAACATTTTGACAAACACCTTGTCTGCGTAATGCTGACGAAATTCTATATGAATATGTTACTTACCATGAGGCTCCATAATTGATAACAGTCTGCAGGCACATAAAAAAGGAGTTATAAAAGTCTGTAAAAAGACTATTTTTTTTTGGGAACGACTGTAAAAAAAAATTTAAGTATACGGGAGTTTTGGAGGACTTGATACGAAGAAGAATGTCGTTGAGACTTTCATCGGATGAAGCACTGATCAAATTTCCATGCTTGTTCGGTGGAAGATCCAATCCTGTGTCTTCAAATCCTTTCTTGCTTCTATCTCCGGAGTCTCCCATGGTTTTTCCTCCAACTCTTTAACTCTGATATTTGCTGTCCCCGTTAACTGCACCTCTTTTATCCTTTTAATCTTTCCTGAGGATGATCTTTTCAGTCTTGGTCATTTTATCCGGTTATTCTATCAGGTAAACTTCGCAAATAGTAATTAAACTATCAATTTTAATCAATTTTAATATTTAATCTTTTTATTTTTTTAAAATCATATTTAATGTTTAGTTTTTATTTCATTTTAGCATCTGTTGTAAAAAAATTTAATATGTTTAGTATCTAAATTATTAACTGTGACCCTTTTTAGTATCTAAACTTTTAATTTTTTCAAAAATTTAACGTTAAATTTTGAACGAGGTACTAAAATGAAACAAAAAATAAATTTTAGGTATAATTTTCAAAAAGTTTAGATATATTAAAATAAACCAAAACTGATCATTTAACCGTAATTTACCTATTCTATTTTATGTTAGGGTAAACTATATTGATGTTACCTTTTGTTTTTTATATATTACTTTGGTCATTAATTTTAAAACAATCATATTTTGGTCACTTTTATTTTCAAGCCCGTTTTATTTTAGTACTTACTTTATTGATATGACACGTTAACAGAAATAGTTAGATTTTAATTTATCTTCTAAATTAAAAAAAATTAGCCAAAAATTTTACATAAAAATATTAATTTAGTCCTTAAACTTTAGATAAAAAATTAATTTAACTCTTGAATCAGTCAAAGTTCTCATCACCGGCTGCCCTTACCACCGTCAGTGGTTGCAGATTGACCGTCGGTTGCAAGTAGAAAAGTATAGATACCAACTTGAGAAAAATGTATTGTTTAAGGGACAATTTGCAAATTAAACCTTTCTTAGTGAGGTTCTAAACATATCAAGAGAATCAGATTAGTTAAAAAGAATGCTCCCTATGGTCAATAATAAATCTCAAATACAAATATATATATATATATATATATATATATATATTCAGAACATAAGTATATTACTAATTTCTAAGATTTTTTTTATCGAATATGCTACGGATACGGATATTCGATAAAAAAAACGAAAAGAAAAAACCGCGTCGAGTCGAGTCTTGAAGGGTGAGAACAGAGCCATAAGATCAGTTGCTGGTTGGCTAATGACACCAAATGCAAACTGTTATTAGTACTAAACATAGCATCTTACCCCACTACATAATGAATCCTCGTGTGACCTTCGCCTCTCGGCTATCCAGAGGCTCTTTTCTCGGCTACGAAACCGACAGTCGCAGTTGCACGAGTCGAATAATCTTCTTCCCTTTCGAAGCTTACCGAAAAAACGGAACGACACCCGATATTCGTCTAGTTGACTTCGGAGAATGCCCCTGGATTGAACTTCCTGCACAATGCTTCAATGGCTGCTCCGATTCTAGATGGATTCTGTAATCCGAATTAGTGAAGCGTCATCGTGTGCAAAACGGCAAGCAACACATGGTATTAATTTCAACGAGAAATGCTTTACATTACCGGATATAATTCTCCTGTACCTTGCCCTCGACGCTAATTATGAGAGGACCTTGTCTAGATCTTCGGAAACAGCCTAGACGCTAATTAGGATCGATATTTAGCGAAAGACGTTAGTAAATATCGTATAGAATGAGCTGTTTCTACCTGCATTTTTTGCAGATCATGATCATGTAAAAGCGAAAGAATATCGATGTCGGAAAAGAATCACGTTAAATTAAATCCGAAAGGAAAGAACACTGTAACTTAAAAAGCAGATTATTGACAACAGCATGAGATTGTCATATATACATCTGTAAGATTTGTTGTCAAGCGCTTTGCCGAGTATGGTTTGGTCGTCACTAAGAAGCCATCGGTTCCGGACAACTCGATCAGACAATCTCACTGCTTGTCCAGCTAGGTAGCATTCGTCGCAGAAAGTATGATTACGTTACGACATTTGATCTGAACAGAAGATCATCAGATTGTTAATGATTCAAGTTCACTTTTCGCGGTGAGGTTTTAGATACCTACCAGGGGGACACCGAAATTTTCGTGATCCAATAGTTCAGTGATGCCTTCCGGTAACTGCGCCATCGAACGATGAGATCCGGGATCACATACCAAAAAACATCAAAAGTTAACCATGTCGCTGGTAGATTCACATCATTCAACATCTTCAGCCACAGAATCTATCTGGTATAAAGAGTAAGATACAATTAGTTGATCAAGATTGTACAGTTTTCTAAAATCTCCACAAAGTCCCCAAATAAGAAACTTTTCGATCAGATGTCAATGTAGATTATAAATCGAGACGCGTACCCTATGTGCACAGGATGCAACATGCAACATACTATTTTGTTAAATAAGCAACACGGCACAAAATCAAATTTGATCAAGGAGAAAAATAGGTAGTAACCTCACATCATTCCTAACAACAGAAGCTTGTGATTCAACCAACCTATCGACCGGAGCTTTCTGCAAAATGAAGGTCCCAACAGATCCTCGACAGTGCCAAACCTGAGCAATGTAACAGATACAAAGAATACTGAAGGATTTCATCAATAGCGTTACATAGAGAAGAAGGAAATTTAAAAAAACGTTAAGAAAGGTGGCAATAAGAGGGAATATCAGTACTGCAGACATATACTTGGAATTTTATGTCGTAGTTGTAGTTCCGTTCCTTCTTCACTAAAACCGAATCAACCCGTCATCCGATTACCCCTCTAAAATAAAAAGACTACGAAGGACTTACAGAATCTCATCCCCGACACTAATCACTGAGGCAGTAAACATCCTGTTTTTCTGTGAATTCACGCTGTCTAGGCCATTGTTAACAACAGAAGAACTAGTGCCATCTAGAGGAGAATTCTTTTTAACTCTCCCTGCCCTTTAAATTTTTCTTTGCTCGAGGTGCTGCTGATGGAAAGCAATGCATTCGGCACTGTATCGTAGATGCTTCCAATTGAAGTATAACTGTGAAAAAATTGATGACAATCAAATAGAGAATAGTTTGATAGTAACAAAAACATAACAAAAAGGAGAAGAACAAAAGAGGTGATATTTCATGCAAAATAGAAGAATCATTACCCTTCATTGTAGAGACTGCAGTACCGAACCTTGCAGGCTAAGAGGAAAGCCCATACATCTCTGCAAAAAAGTGATAAACAATTCAGATATATCCCAAACCAAAATGGTCATCCAACTATAGAGTGTTATATTGCTGAGTCCCTCGACTATTAAAAATTACAAAATGGTCACTTAACTTTTTATGATGTTCAAAACTCGTTATTTTCTGTTAAAAAATTGATGATAGCATGAGCTAAACATTAACCTGTTGACAGTGATATGATAAAATATGATCCCAGAATTTGAAACAACTATTTCAGCTTAGGCAACCGTTAATTTTTTAATGGAAAAAGATAAGTTTGGAACATAATAAATAGTCAAGTGACCATTTTATAACTTTTAATAGTCAGAAAACTTAATAATACTTTACCCTTTTTCTTATTTGATGATGAAAATAAAATTATAATTAATAAATAGTTTACGTTCAATCTTTATAGAAGAAATTGAAACCGCATCTAAATTTCGAAGAGCAGCAGAGAAAAATCGAAATCGAAATCAAAAGATGGTAGCTTTTAACAAACCATTTCAAATTCAATTCATTATTTTTCCTGCTTAATCAATATAACGATTAGGGTTCTTTTCCAGGTTTGTATAGCTTGCCTGTTGCCACTCTTCCTCGTTCCGATCGTCAACATTTTGCCTCTCCTCTTCGATTTCATCATGGTAAAATTATTTGATTTTTATAATCATCAATGTTTTTTATTTGATTAATTAACCCCCTTTTTTCACACCAGGGTAAAATCTACAGGCTTTTTGGATGGGAATACCGTAAACCGGAAAGGGCACCGCCGGCGTGTCCCTATAAACCGGCTGCAAAACTGGAAAACACTAAAGTGAGCGATCGTTATTTGCCTGCTTAATTTAAGTTTGTGCTTATTTATTGAATTAGTAATGACTAGTAATCCAAAGTTTTACTTTTAACTTAATTTGGTTTATTATTTGTGCTGAATTATCATTGCTAATGGAGGATACACTGGTTTCGGAGGTACTTAGAATTTCTTAGGGTTTGCTTTGCCGCAATTTGAAGAAGCCGATTATTATGTGTAAAATATAGAGGTGAATGATAAAAGCTTCAAAAACGTGGTTTTTAGGCGCTTAGCAAATGAAAAATATAGCAATGGAGATCTAATTCTGTGCATAAATTAATCCTTTTTTCTTTTTTGAAAATTGCTTGACAGAATTTCGAACAAGTAATCGATCGATCTAGAAGTTCAGATGAGAATCTGGACCTGATTGAAGTAGCTATCCTTTGGTGTTATAGCTTTTATTTTGAACATGGCTTAATTGGTATCTAATCAATCAACTGATTTTAGGGATTGTGTTTGCCAGTAAAACGAGGATTGGGCTTCTGTGCTCTGGATTATTACATTTTCTTGTTCAGATTCTTAAACTGGTTTGCATAGTAGCCTGTTACCTTATGGCTTTAGGAGTTTGGAGGGACGCCCGTGTTGTAGATACACGGATGGAGAGGATAAGGAAAAGGAGAAGGATTAAAGAAGGAAAATTTGTCTCCTCTTGTTGTGTGGTCAGAGTGTGGAACTTTTTCTTTTGGTTCAAGGGAGGGGAAGAGAAAAATTAGTGAACTTTTTGCGACTTATTTATCTCTTTGTCTTGAGCTGGATGAAAGCCTTACAAATAGATGAAAAATTGAGAATGCAATCTGATTTTGGAAATTGTTTAGGCCTTCTATGCTGCCCCTCCCACCCTAAAATAACCCAAGTTGAGAGGAAGGTTTAGAAATAATCTGGGAGTATATCTGTTTAAAGTAAAATGGTGTTGCTGCATGATCGTGTTAAGAATTTAGGTCTATTTTCTGGTGGTGCTGTTTTGTCTCCACTAGCAATTATCTGACAAATGCAAGCTATATCAATAGATTTCTAGCAGGTATCCTATACTTGTGAGCTAATTTTTTTGTGCCATTTATATAAAAAAAACCATAATCTGGTATTGGATCTGTTTATATTAAAATGGTGATTCTTCATGATCGTGTAAAGTATATGGGTCGTATTGCGATAATATTTTGTCTCCATAAGCAACTATCTGATAATGCAAGTTATATTATTGGATTTGTAGCAGGTAACTAGTACATAGGAGCTAACTTTCTGAATAGGTATCAGCTTTGTTCTTCTTTGTCCATCTTAGTTCCCAGTTTTATACTTATATTGAAAAAACATAATAGGAGTTTTGAAATTCACTGGTAAGTAACTCGAACGTATTATTCCATAAACAAGGAGTATGTAACACCGGATTCACTTCATTTCATTCGTGCTTTATGTGAGGGAGGCCATGAGTTTCATGTAGTTCGTTTTCTGTCACTCTTGCATGGAATACTCTTGTTTGTAGCATTCTGATCAGTCAGGTCTTCTTTGCAAGCTATTATCCACCAATCGTCCGGCAACCATCGACTCTAATAATTATTTATATTTTATAAGCTGTTGGGAAAAAAACTCACAATAATCTAGTTTGATTTTTGGTCAGTAGTTGTTACCAATGTTTATCTTTGTTTCGTGATTATATCCTTTTGATTTGCTTAAGTTTCTGGTTGACAGGTGACCCCAGAAACTGAACCTGGTGCACCGGAGTCTAGTTCGAAACTCATCGGAGAGACAAATGGCAAACAGGATTGATATTGAAAGCTCGATCCTGTTGAAGATGAACTTCTTAAGTTTTTTGATTTGTTGGGAAAAAGAATCACTCTGTATGTTTTATACATAATCTAGACATAGTAAAGCATGGGAAGCCATGGAACCTACATAAGTCTTGTTTAGAGGAAACATGAAAATGTAATAAAATCTTTCCCCATAAATCCTCTTCTAAAGGTTTGTTTTAAGTGCAGGAGTTGCATTGAACCTAAAGTTTAACTTGGTTGGTTTATGCCCTTATTCAAGTAAAAAACTTTAATTTTAGTACTTGAATTAGTAACCTTCTTCGAATTTGGTCCTTAAGAGATTTTTGCTCTTAAGTTTAATCTTTAACTAGGCACTTTCTCTCAAGTTGATATATAAAATTTTAGCTCTTAGTTGATATCCGAACATTAGTTTCATCCATTATTTTGGTACTTTTGGTAAACTACGCATTTAATACCTAAATTATCAGTTTTTGTCTGATTTAGTATTTAAACTTTTAATTTTTTCAAAACCATACCTAATGTTTAGGTTTTGTATCATTTTAATACATTGTCGTTAAAAGCTTAACGCATTTAGTACCAAAACTATAAGTTTTGGCATGTTTTAGTATCTAAACTTTAAAAAAAATCAAAATCATATCTAATGTTTAGTTTTTTGTTTCATTTTAATAACTCGCTATTAAAACCTTAACACGTTTAGTACCCAAGTTATCAGTTTTGATTCGTTTTAGTATCGGAACTATTATTTTATTTTTTTCTAAAAAATAACATTAAATTTTGAACAGATACTAAAATGAAACAAAAACTAAACTTTATGCGTGGTTTTAAAAAAATTGAAAGTTTAGGTACTATAACAAACTAAAATTAAGAGTTTAGGTGCTAAGCGCGTAATTTACCCTTTTTAAAAACACACATGATAACATCATTAATGGCACATAATAATTTTAGGGTAAATTATGCATTTAGTATTTAAACAATCAATTTTGGCCCGTTTTAGTACTTCAACTTTTAATTTTTTTCAAAACCATGCCGAAAGTTCACTTTTTGTTTTATTTTAGTACACTTGTTCAAAATTTAACCTTTGGTTTTGAAAAAAAAATAAAAGTTTAATTATTAAAATGGATCAAAATTGATAGTTTATGTACTAAACACGTTTTTTAAAGAATAAAGACATGATGCTAAAATGAAATGAAAACTAAATTTTAGGTATGTTTTTGAAAAAAATTGAAAGTTTAAGTACTAAAACGGATTAAAATTGATAGTTTAGGTACTAAATACATAGTTTACCCATAATTTTATGTTCTCATGCCATTAAAATTAGAATCTTCAATAAAAATGAGATTGAAGTTTATCATATTTTAATGATATTGAAATAAAAATGATTTTCTTCAGTAAAATAATACAGGCATCGGACTTTATATTGAGTTTCAACGTTCAGAGTTATGTTTATGTTCGTTTGTTTATTTTTGAAGGTGTTCATATTCAATTCGTGTTTGTTTAAATTTTTAATATAGTGTTTTTGTTCGTTTATTTGTTTTTAAAATGTTTGTATTTGTTTGTTTAATGTTCGATAACCAACACTCTTTTTATCATTTTATTTACAAGCCAAATAAAGTTGGTGAAAATACACCATTAGTCCTTAAGTTCCTGAAGTTTCACAGTCTGAACTCTAAAATCCATATTATGATTTAGTATCTATCTTCACCAATATTTAAAATGTAAAAAAAGAAAAGAAAAATGAGAATTGAGTATGCGAGTTTATATATGAATCAATAAATAAACTTATAAACGAGCCAATAAACGAGTTTATTCGTGAATATAAACGAAATGAACACACCTTTATCCATGTTCGTTGATTTATTAAATGAACATAAAAAATTTGTTCATACACATTTATTTAACTTAATAAACGAACATTATACGAACGGTTCATTAACAGTTCGTCGAACATTTTATTCATTTACACCCCTAACTCTTTGGATGTTTGGGCTTCCCATTTTATTAGGGTTAAGTGGACACCAAATTAGAAACATGAAGTTAATATAGAACACTTCCTATATTGCAAGGTCTCCATAGTTATAATTTCTATATAATCGATCGATTATCATTCTACTATCGACAATAATTTTTTATTCAAACTAAAATGAGTAAATCATTCACTTTCAATTAAAACATATTTAAGAGAACATTAACTTATTTTTTAAAAAATAATCTGAAATTATTATAAGGAAATATATACTTAAAATTTTATTAGTCAATTGACAACACACGTACACATACAGATACAGATATTTAAATTCAGAATTATCAAGGAGAATAACATTTTCCTTTTAAGTATTATATAGAAAAAAATATATTACGTTTCTACCATAGGAAACTCACGTTCCAATTAAATGATATTTTCTAAACTTGTCTTTTTTATTAAAAAAATTAATTGTCATCTGAGTTAAACGTTAACTCGGTGACTACGATATGATAAATTCGATCTCAGAATCGTTTGAATTATACAACCGTTTGAGACATCGAATTCAAATTTTATCATATTTCAATCAATAATTTAACCGTTTGACGTTTTGGTCGCGTCTTAAAGATTCTAGTTAATGGTGTTCCGACAGAAAGAGTCAAGATTGCTCGATGGTTGAGGCCTCACTCCACTGTTATTCAACATTGTGGGTGAGAGTTTAAACCAAATGCTGGTCAGAGCAGGGAACAAAGATTTATTTTCGGGTTTCTTGTTGGGTGGTTGCTTTTGATCTTCTTCTTTTTTTATAACCACCAGTTTCCGATCCATTGATCTACTAATCCGAATCAAGTACTACAGAGGCAAGGACGACCCTCCCAACTCAATTTACTAAAAATTTATTAATTATTAAAACAAAAATTATAATTAAATTTCAAATGTTTTGAATTTAAAATAAATATTTTTAAAAAAATTAGAATGTTAATGTGAAATAATTTAAGAAATTAAGAATTTAGAATGTTATGGTGGTAAAATTTAAGAAATTAGGAATTTAGAATGTTAGAGCGAAATAATTTGAGATTTATAAATAAAAATTTATTATAAAATAAAAAATAATATATATATATATATATTAAACCGGGTATCGGGTATGTGGGTACCCGGTTAAACAACATTTTGTTATATTAAATTGAAATTAGAACCTAATTAAAAGTTAAGAATTAAAGTTAATCTTGGTGATCAAATTGATTAATTCTAAAATCTAGGAGATTTAATCTGCAAATTTAATACATGACTGGAATAAAAGATTTTAAAGTTAATACTCAAATTAAGGCATTAGACAAATTAAAAACAAAATCATGATCAAATTGGATTAAATGAATATCCAAGGAAACAAATCATAAACAAGTATTGACCAAAATGGAAGAAAGCAAAGCAGGGTGCCAGCATCGCAAATACGTAACTTTACAAGGACCCGCATCTTAATTATACAAATTTTTTAACTGCCACGTAAACACCGTTAAATGTTAACATCATATGGTCGTTTTAAACTCATTTAAATAGTTCATTGGTATATTTATTACAATTTTAAAAATAGTAATCATTTCGCATCCTGACCCATAATTATGTGGTCATTTATGTAGTTTATCCTATTATTTAAAAAACCAGCGACACTCTTTTAATTTTATAAGCCGCCCTCAATATCATTTCACGTGTCATTAATCATTTATTTAGTCACTAAACTATTATATTAATTCTATTTTAATCATCTGATTATTATCTTTTACCTATCAAGTTCGTCATCAAACACATACTTAAAAATTGGCCGTTCATTGTTGAGCATGTTTGCCTTTTCCTTTTCGGTTTTATTGTAAGCAGGATATGGATGCTTAAAGTTTTTAAACAAGTGGATGACATCCCATCGTTTTCAACCAACATTTGCTAACAAAATTCTCATGTTTTTTTTAGTTCTTTTCACGTATAATATCAAAATTAGCCCCCAACATTTATCAAAACGATCGTTTTATTAATGTTCTATTTTTTGAAGCATTTTGGCCCCCAACATTTCATTTTAAGGCAAAACGACCCATAAAATTTGATAGAATAATCAATTTGTTTAGTCTTTTTAGACATTTTAGCCCTCAAAGTTTCATTCTGGGTTAAAAATGCTCATATTTTGGAGCGATAATCACGTTTTAACTAGGGATGAGCATTGGACCCGAACCCGAAGGGTTCCGACCCAACCCAACCCAACCCGATCGGGTCGGGGTTTTTTTTTTAAATCGGGTTCGAGTTGGGTCGGGTTTTTTTAAGTGTGATGTTCGAGTCAGGTCGAGTTCGAGTTTAGGGTGAAAAATACTCGACCCGACCCGAAAAAATATATAATTTTATCTTAAATATTTAGAAATAATTACAATAATACCCCTCTATATATATATATATATATATATATATATTTCAATTAAGTCATTGTTTTAATGAATAAAAATATTTTTTATTTCGGGTCGGGTCGGGTGAAATTTTGTTTTGGTCGGATCGGGTCGGGTCTCGGGTGGAGGATCTTTTGTTCTTGGGTCGGGTCGGGTGGACCAAAAACCCGATGCAACCCATGCCCATATCTAGTTTTAACTAATGATTTTCATCTATAAAGGGAGCTTTTTGTCCCGAAGTGAAACGTTGAGGGCCAAAATGATCGTTTTAGTAAAAGTTAAGGAGTATTTTGGACATTATGCCTTCTTTTTATTAAAAAATGAAATCATTGAGAACTATATTGGTTCCACTTGTTGGATGGAGCTTTATTGCAGGTCCCCCCACCTTTGGAAATCCAGAAAACAAATTTGGCTTTGATTGGATTATCATGAGCATGAACCCCATGGCCATGGCTGACTATGACAGACATTTTTAAACACCAAAAAAAAAAAAATATATATATATATATATATATATATAATCAAGGTAAAAAATCGATTCAACTTGAGATTCTTCTAATCAACAAAGATATAACATTTTTCACCGTACAAGTAATACCTCTAGGATTTTAAAGTAAACGCTACGATTATCAATTTTAAATCATAAATATGATAATTACGCTCGAGTATTTTCAGTTGTCTCATTGCGTAAGTCATTATCTTACCATTTGTATCATTAATAAACAATCTAGATCGATGTGAACACATAATCATTTCAGACTCAGACTGAATCAAAATCGGTGGGTATATCAAAATATATTCCAATAATCTACCGACGAATATCAGATAATATTTGTTAACCCTAAGAAATGTGTATAGGACTTAAAAAACACACACATATATATTCATATAAAATAAAATTTTGTTGTATTTTTTTAATATTTGATCTCAAATGTTAAATAAAGAATGTCCAATAATGTTGGACCCTGTCAGTTCCACATAATATTGTTTTAAAATATTAGGATAAAGACTGAACCCCAATGTGTGTTTTAATAAAAATGACTGAATTTTTCTCAACAATGATGAAAATGAAGCTTACCTATCTAATTCGAGTCAATTTTTTTTAAAAAAAAATCGAGTTCGAGTCGGTTGGATCAAGGCTTTTAAAGATTATGCACGGGTTGAATCGGGTTCAAGTTTATAGTTAAAAATATCCAACTTGAACCGACTAAAAAAAATATAATTTTACTTTATATGTTTAGAGATAATTGCAATAAGACCACTCTATATAGTAGTTTTTTTAATCAAATATCTATTTTTTATTGAATAAAAGTAATATTTTTCATAAATATATTATTTTGGGTTCGATCGAGTCAAGTTTAGCCTTTATCTCAAAAGGGCAGATTGAGTTCGGGTCGGATGGAATGCTTATAAGTTTTGAGTTGAGTGGAAAGTGTATAATTTTTCGGGTTGAGTCGGATTTAGAAATCCGACCAAACCTATCCCATGCTCATCCATAATAGAGATACAACTATTTAAACCCGAATTCATTAATCATTTATTAATCCAAAACACCTTGATTAGGGTTTGAGGTTGTCAAGAGTTTGAAATCCAAAAAAAAGGGGGGGGGGAATGAAAATAGATTGATAAACCGCAAGGACAAGTGAAGCGCAAGCGAAGAAAGGCAAACCAGTAACTCTCTCAAACCAGTAACTCTCTCTCTCTCTACCTTTTATGTTCCATCTCCATGACAGTACGGCTCAACAAAACAAAAACTCCTTAAAATTTTTAAAACTAAGCAAAGTCATAACACCACCACCAGGGAATCAAAAAGGCAAAATCTTCACTGTTTTTTTTTTTCAAGCTTTGAAGAATAAAAGGCATGGGTTTTCTGCATGACGACGTGGTGATTATGAGGCAGGCGGATAAAGAAGGAGAGCCGAGCATCATCACTGTAAATTGCCCTGATAAAACTGGTTTAGGCTGTGATTTATGCCGCATCTTGCTCTTCTTCGGTCTTAACATTGTCAGAGGAGGTATTCTCAAATTTTCTTCAAACTTGTTTAGACTTTTTTATTGTTTTTGTTTTCTTTTAAAAAAAGCTTAATTTGTTCTTGTGAAGATGTATCTACGGATGGGAAATGGTGTTATATAGTGTTTTGGGTGGTTTGTAAGCCAACAACTAGATGGGAATTGTTGAAGAAAAGACTAGCTGCAGCTTGCCCTTGTTGCTATTCTACTTCTGGGATTTCTTATTACAGTTCTGAATTGCAGTCTTCAAGGCCTCCTGATGTATTTCTCCTCAAGCTTCGCTGTTATGATAGAAAAGGCCTTTTACATGGTAACCTTTTTTCTTCTTATCAGGACCATCTTCCTGTTGTTTCGCACTTTCAAGTTCTGTCAAATTTTTGTCTTCATCTGGTTGATTCTTTTACTATTCAATGGACATATCTCCTTCAAATGCATTGTGGGGTTGTTTCATTTGGTTAAGGGATTTGCTGTTCTCCTTTGAGTTTCGGAGTTTCAGCACGGTGTATTTAAGGGTATGAGTTTCACTGTCAAATGGTCGAGTTTTTGAGCATATGCTACCTTGCATTCATCTCAGGACAGGGTCTATTTTATGAATAATTTGAGAAATGTATTAGTGATCAACTTTTGATCTTTTGCCCTGGCAGATGTGACACAAGTTTTGTGTAGTCTTGAATTCAGTATAGAGAAAGTGAAGGTCTCTACAACTCCGGACGGCACGGTGATGGACCTGTTTTTCATTACGGATACCAGGTTTTGTTCCTTTGATATTATGATCTCTTCAAATCAAATCCCTTGCTTTGCTAATCTTTAGAAACTAGCTGTATGTTTCGTTAACCCGGATCAGTTATGCCTCTTTGAAATGCTTACAAATGTATCTTGAATCAGAACAATATGTACATCCATTCACACTGCATATGCATATGCCTATGCCTAAAAGAATATGCTTAACATTCTGTTTTGGAGGAAGGATTAATGGATTGGAGTTGAATTACATGTCCACTTTGAGTTTGAACTACCCTTGGTCAATATTTTCTTTTCCAGGGAACTATTACATACAAAAAATAGGCAGGAGGAGACTTATAAAGCGTTGGAAGATGTTATGCAGGACGCTATAATTAGCTTTAACGTCGAAAAGGTTGGACCCGAAATTACTGCATGTTCTCAAGCATCTCCATTTCTCCCACCTGCAATAACCGAAGATATTTTCAACATCGAGACGTCTAATGAACTCCCGAGTGTATCGCTTACGTGCAACGATATTTGTGTCACAATAGACAACTCACTTAGCCCTGCTCACACTCTTGTTCAGATCGTATGTGGAGAACATAAAGGTCTTCTATATGACATAATGAGAACTCTGAAGGATTACAACATTCAGGTAGATAGACTCATTACTATATGATAAACCGAATTTTCATCACTCAACTTTCAAAAAAAAAAATGAAGCACTACAGTTGATCATGTACATTTCTCTGCTCACACTCCATGTTAATGCCTCAGTTTCATAACTTGACTAGATCTCATACGGACGCTTCTATATAAAACAAGGAAAGAAGTGCGAGATCGACTTGTTTATAATGCAAGCTGATGGGAAGAAGATAGTTGATCCCAGAAAGCAAAGTGCATTGTCCTCACGTCTGAAGATGGAGCTGCTCCAACCCCTCAGAGTAGCTGTAGTGAGCCGGGGTCCTGACACTGAGCTTCTAGTCGCAAACCCTGTAGAGTTATCAAGCAAGGGCCGGCCTCTTGTTTTCTTCGACATTACCCTTGCTCTAAAGATGCTTAACACTTGCATATTCTCGGTATTTTCTCAGCTCTCTGCTGTATAAGCTTCATTGACATGTTGAACTTAACACTGCACTAGAGTTCATATCATGGGGCTGTATGTTTTCCACATCTTTTCTGCAATAATATGCATGTGTTTTTCTCGGTTACTCATCTTCGCTGTTCCGATGCATTACTTTTTCGTTATATCTGGAGTCGATCGATGTTTCTCCCTTTTTCTTTTGCAAGTTGAGCAATTAGCCTTTATGTGTTTTTCATATTTTTCAGGCAGAGATTGGAAGACACATGATCGGAGATCGAGAATGGGAAGTTTACAGAGTTCTACTAGATGAAGGGGCTAGCTTATCCGTCCCAAGACGAAAGGTCGAGGAAGAAGTTTGGAAGCGGTTGATGGGTTGGGAATAACTATGATCACAAGATAGCCCCTTCGTCTGCTGCCATTGCTAGTGCTGCAGTACATATACTATGTGCCTCCGCCGTGTGCAATCGGTGTAAATTATTGATCAGGTCAGTAAAAACTTTGAAGCTTCTGAGGCTAACCATGTGATATAGGAACCTGTTGGTAGCAAGTAGACAAAGAGGAAACAATAAGTGCTTGCGGCCATGTATACTTGAAAGGTCAAGAGTTGCTGTATCATAGATGTAGATATGATGTATATCTTGTTGGGTAACCTACGCATTTAGTACCTAAACTTTTAATATTTTTTCAAACTCATGCCTAATGTTTAGTTTGTGTTTCATTTTAGTACCTCGCCCTTAAAAACTTAAACGTGTTTAATACCTAAAATAACAGTTTTGGTCCATTTTAATACTCTCAAAATTTAACGTTAATTTTTTTTAAAAGTAAATTTATTTGAGCTCTATTCTAGTTGTTATATATATAAAAAAAACTTGCCTAATGAAACTATGTGAATATGATGATATTGTCCGTCTCGTCAATAAATCATTCATAGATGATTCAACAGTTAAGCTTTTCAAATTCTATCGGAGGAAGATTAAATTACATTGACGTTTGAGATTGAATATCATTGAACAAATTCTTTATCATATCTTATCTTAAATAATTCGAATTCAAATTAAATATTATCTACGCTATCCTTTTAATTAAAATAATTATCTTAAATTAAATGGAATGTACTTCATCCTACAAAGATTGTTCCAAGGTTGTCTGAATAAACCTAATACTATGCACACAATCTCTTAGGAGGTGTTTGGTTCAAGGATTGTGGGATTCTCATGGGATGGAAATCTCACATTCTCATGTTTGGTTGACCGGGAATTTCATTCCTGGTAATATTTTATTACCAATAGTAGATTTTTTGGGTATATTACTGGGAATGTCATTACCTCCATTCTCTTAGGTATTGTAACATTACCGGCGTTTTTGGACTAAAATGTCCTTAAATTTTTATTTTTTTTTCCAAAAATATCCTTCTCTGTCATTGAATAATAAAAATTCTACCAAGGTTAAATTACAAATTTATCCTTAAATTATTTTAGATTTACAAAAAAAGTTTATAATTAAAATTTTATATGAAGTTCAGGGGTAAAAAAAATTTACCCTTTTATTAAATCTTTTTTATATTTTTAATTTTGTAAAAAAAATTATATAAATATTATGAATTTATTTTTTAAAAGAAAATATATAAATATTTTACAATTTGTAATATTATACAAATATATAATAAGGACAATTTGGTCAAATATACATTCCAATAATCTTTTATTCCTTTAACCAAACACGGTAATCTTACATTCCTGCTAAACCAACCAAACACAAAATACAACATTCCCCAGTAATCCTATTCCCTGGTAATCTTTTATTCTCACTGGTAATCTTACATTCCGTGAACCAAACGCACTCTTATGGGGACTTTTACGCACACGTCACGGATCTAAATCTACGGGCCGTGACATTAGTAGAATATGCTCCACCCTCTAAAGATGGTGTCGAGTTTAGTGGTCTGGACACACTCTGGATCCTAATCCGAAGTCCGTCACATCGGATAAACACACTTACAAGGTCAAGGGGAGGATCTAATTAAAGATTTAGATTTTATTCTATTTAGCTATTACCTATTACCTAACAATATCCGTATCCTTTGTGTTTTCTCTTTACTGATCGTATTACGTTTACTGGTTTAAAATATTTCACTTCTCAACTTCAGTAGCTATCTGCACATACTGACAAATGATGATGTTCTTCTTCCTTTTTACAGTAAACAAAAAAAGGGAAAAATAGAGAAAAATATCCTATTGGACTAACCTAATTGGAAACCTTATTAGAATGAGATCATGTAAGCCGATTGTGGAGTTCCCACAACGTTAGTGTTCTCCGGCTATGGTGCCATGTAAGCTTTACTGGTCACCCTTTCTTTTTCTCTTTTGAGCATACTTTTTGCCACCTCATATAAGAAACACTTGAAACTCTCCCTCAACTCATCTGTCATCTGCAACAATGGCTGAGGAAACAATCGCAGCAGCGGTGCAAGGCGAAAGTATAAGTAAATGGCCTTGGCACGAGGACGAAGACGAGAGTTGATAACGTTTGTGAAGCTTTTGGGGAGCCGAGGTGGGATAATGTAGCTAGAGTTTCCGGTATTTAATCCGATACGTATAACGCTCGTGATGAATCGTTCTGTTTTCTTGTATGAGAAGTTATCTTTTTATGTCGACTTATAGATGAAGTTGTTTAATTTCAGGTTTAAAGAGAAGTGGCAAGAGTTGCAGGCTGAGGTGGGTGAATTATCTTCGTCCTAATCTAAAGTATGGCCGTATCAGTGCTGAAGAAGAGATGATCATACTAAAACTTCATGAGAAATGGGGCAACAAGTGAGATTCTTTCATCTTCTTGGATTTTTTTTTCAGTTTCTGCTATCAATTTTCCTAAACATACTCCCCGCATGTAGTCGATGATTGCTCGAAGGTTGCCGGGACGAACCGATAATGAGATAAAGAACTATTGGAGAACTCGTTTAAGAAAGAAAGCAGTAATTCAAGATCAAGGTGCACTTCAATATACCCTTTTACTGATTCATATATATATACCCCTCTGCAATCACTTCTAACAGCTCGGTTTTTCGACAGGAAATTTCCGATTCGGAGAAGACGATGACAAGAAGTTGTTCTTGCTCCAAGGAGATGATAGAAATTCCTATTTCAAAACTTACAATGGTGACAACTCCAATCCTTGTGTGAATATTTCAGACCCTAAAAACAGTTCTTATGCAGCTGCTGCTGGAGTGTCGGGTTTCGATCTTACGGTTACGAGTACTTCTCCATATGAAACCAGGTTATCAGATTGGATATCAGAGTTTCAAAGTGATCAAATTAAATCATAGGAAGAGTGTAATAATATTACAAATTCATGCTACTGTTATCCAGCATGGTTCTATGAGGAGAATGATTTATGGGGATGTTCAGACTCCCTTTGGAACATGGAATAGTATGTCACTCTTCAGAAAGAATGCATTACCTTTTAATGTGCTTGTATATATATATATATATATATATATATATATATAGGTATATTGATATTATTTCTGAAAAGAATGCAAGTCACAAGTTTGCCATTGCACAACCTTCAAAGAACAAAAGTGAAAGAGCATATTGTCTTTGTCCAAATAAAACCTAGAGAATCTATCTAGCAACATCAATGATATTCTTTCTAAAGATCTCGGGCTTAAATAACTGTATTTATAGATGTGTGTTGTTAACGATTAAAAAAATTATAAACGGACATTACCTTATAATCATTTATACTATTAAAAAAATTCGGATATTTCAGACAGATTAAGGGTAAGAAGGGGTGTATCAGTGTGACCGCTAAAATGACAGTTCCTAAGCTAATAATAATAATAACAACAACAACAACAAAGCTTCATTGGCCAGAGAGTTGGTCAAGTGGTATTAATAAATAAACAAATATAAGCTTATCCATTTCAGCAGCTAGTGAGCATGTGACCTACATCAGCTGAATCATGGCCTTAAATTAGTAGACGCCTAGGGCAAACAACCCTTTTAAAAAATCATATTATTTTTTTTACTTGTACTCTCGATTCCATGACTTCACTCTGATTAATTTAGTGTTAACTCATTCGTATACTTGGTTTTAGTGGACGAGTCTTCTAACGGATTTTCTGCATATATAATGATTCGAACTCTAGACTTGTTTAAACGATATTAAGCTATTTACTACTTGAATCAATACCATTTAATAAAATCTAAATTAAACCCAACATTAAACTGAATATATTTTTTTTCAACTCGTCATTAAACAACGATCTTAAGCACAAAATATAAAGTAAAAAACTTCACCAGACAGGACATTGAGGGGTACATGAGTGGCCTAGAACTGAATACAAAATGCAGAATATAAGCATCATCATCATCTTGTAAACATAAATGTAATAAAAAAGGGAAAAGTACACAAATGGTCGACGTTGCTTATTCCAAATGGGTGGCTTAGCATGTGTGGATATTCTGGAAATAAAATATATTATCACAACTTGAACAATTTAGCTGTTGTTGGACAACTTTACAAGTGTGGTGCATCTGATGCCTTCCTGACCAAGGTAAACGTTTAGTTGTTGCCATGTTTGTGTTCGAAACTGACCCCTTTTTTGGTTACTCGTACCCCGACCTTCCTTGCACGAAAAGATCCGATTCCGACACAGGCGACATTCTCTGGCATGTCATATGATTTGACTTACATCGAAAAGCTAATTATTAACAGTTCCTCCTTGCAGTGAAGGTATCATTTGGACAAAGGACAACGAGGTAAAACAAAAATACTAAAAATCTAATCATTTCTAATAAGTTCTTATCTGGAAAATGAGATTCTGATGCATATTCGGTATACTATGCAGATAAGAACTGTATCAAGAGACCAAGTTCGGGTACTCCGAATAGCTGTCCACGATGTAAGTAAATAATCGACTTACATCGAATTAGCTAAACCAGGAACATTCTTGAAATGAGCAATCTCTTGAAGCAAATCTAACATCTGTTTGATTGAATGATTTCATCGGTATGCAGAAGCAAATGCAAGACCTGTGCGGCCGCTCAATCATCGAAAGGTTGAACTTTACAGCCCGAACTGATTAAACCTGCAGCATCTATTGAGAGCCCAGATTTTGACGTTTGTGTGTTTATACATTCTTGAGGTATTTATATCCCATTCTGAGATTTATGTTACTAGTTCACTATGCATTGCTGCATAGCAGTTGGATCAAACTAAGAATTTCGTTACCTGCTGTAACCGAATCCCTAAATACGACATTCAAAACCGACATCTTAGACAATATGGAATTTATTTAGCACTAGCAACGATCTGAGTACGTACCATCTGCATTCTTACAAGTTTCATTTGTTCCACTAATACAATCCGCAAGCTCCGGATCAACGGCGGATTGGCATACAGAGACAGGCGTAAGCAAAGACGGAAAGAAACCTACTTCCAGCTACCCTCTAATGCCCTATGAAATCACATGGCAGTTATCGAAGGAACTAAAAGAAGAAAACGAAAAGCACGAAAGAAATAAACATTGATGAACTCATCATCTAACTCTTTTCGTAATCTCTGATGAGCCCGAAGCAGCACCTCCACGCGTCAGCCTGGTGTTGTATGATCTGCATTTCGGGCACTTGTGCGCCAAGATGTGGAAATTAACCTCCGAATGTTCCCCACAGTCATTACAGAGAATCCAAACCTGGTCAATCCAAAATCGATTAATGGATAAGTAGCTCAAACTAAACAAGGATAGCCTCTAAAATCTGCAAATTAAGTAATTCACTCACCATTTTATTCTGATAAATCTGAGGCATCGTTGTCGAAGCAATCTGAAATTTGTTTTTAAGAACAGTATGGCCAATGGATCAGAGAAATATTTACATGCGCACTTAAATACAATCTATAATCTATTCCAGGCATACCTCTTGGTCAAGTCTTTCCCACGCTCGGGACATATCACTATACGATTTTGAGCAAACGGGACATGAATACCTGCAGTAACATCATTAAAAACCAGCTGACCAAGAATGAAGTACAAAATGAACAAGGAAATGCTTTCGGCGAACATAATCTGCATGACTATGAGGTTGCACGTGTACTCGAAAGGACTTACCGGAAATGTCGTTCCATCTCTTTCACACATTCCAAATGTATCGTGTGGCCACATGGTAAGACAGCTATGTCTTTTATCGTGTCAAAGAGAAACTAAAACGACGAAATCAAAAGAAAGAAAAAAAACCGACAAATTAGCAGGTCGAAAAAGCATACGACACTTGCAAAGTTCTAGGAAAACCTTGAGCGTTTTAAACTTGCCTCGAAGCAAACAGCGCAATTATGGTGCATAGCTTTTTCAACACAACTGTGCGAGTTCTTCAAGATCATAGAATAGCAACATTCTTCGACAGATACAATCGGAACATCAATGATCGAAGATAGAGAAAACAAAAATGATCTTTCAGGTGAAAAAACGCAAGATAAGTCGGTAATCTTACCGCATTTATTACAATGGAAAAAATTCTCGGCACCACCAGTTCTACAACATCAAACAAAGTAAATACAGTGATATCATATCATTGATATGCATGTAGGCGCAGAACGAGAGTAGATTTAGCACAAACCGAACCTGCAGATACCGCATTCATCGCAATGGTACTGATTTTTCAAGACCTTGCAATTCAAGACAAGAAAACGATTTCCATTACAAGGAAGCTTAATTATGGAATTGCAATATATTCAGTAGTCAAATGAAGCAAACCACTAACATCATCATCGAAGAAGTTGCATTTCGAACAAAAGTACTTTCCCATACAAACCCCACAGTTTATGCAATGCTGTCGAACCTAATTTACATCAAGAAAGAGCAGAGCAAGTCAGTAATTTTACTCCTCTTTTCATTCTGCTCAATCTTTATATCACCATTAAAGAACTTACATCTTGTTCCATGTCACACAAGGAACAAATAACCTGAAATATTTATTGAATGGAAGAATATCAGCTAAGAATTACATAGGAAAATGAGGGGGAAATCCGAAAATGGTCCAAAAATACTACAACAAAAAAAATTAATAAAAAACCCAACAAGATCTGACCCTTTTTATGTCATGGCGAGGAACCTCGTGACGATGAAAAAGATCAACTTCCATTGAGTTCTTCAAGAAAGACCATTTTTTTCATGATGAATTAGTAGAAACGATTAAAAAGAGAAACTTGAAGAGAATTGAGGAAGAAAAGGAAGGACCTTGGATTCATTATGACAGTGTCTGCAGTCGAAAATTTCATTGCAACAAGGAGCCCTGATCTTGCACCTTCTTCTGTAGTGGGAGCACCTTCAAAATTACACTAACAAAATTAACGCAAAATACATAAAGATGGTGAAAAATAGAAGCTTTGGGGTGAATAAAAGGTACCCAAATTCCCCATATCCTTTCTCCATCACAGATGGATTCTTCGACACCTTGGGGTCACAAACGGCCTCCATCAAGCCCCAAATTATGCTCCAAAATTTACCTGAAACAGACCCGAAGAAGAAAGATGGAACCGATTTGGAAATGGAAGAGCTGAAGTATCATATAGAGTTTGAAACAAGAGAAAAGACAGACCCGAAGTGAAACGGATGAATGATGTGTCGGCTTCATCGAGCTAAAGTCTGAAGCGATCATGCAGAATGGGCAACAGGTAGATAAACAAAACAAAACAATAAAGATTTTATGGTGTGGTCCCTTGATTTTTGTGAAATTGTACATTGCGTTCGTATTTAGATTCTTTAAAGGGAAACCAATTATAAGGTGACACGCAAACGTATTGATCAACCGTCCCAATAATTGCACTTTAGAAAAAAGAGACAGAGATCAAATGAAGAAGAAACGACACTGTGTCACTTTCAACAAAAACTAAATGGAAAGGTGACCCAAGAAAATGATAAAGAAAAGAAGATGAAGTGGGGTTAAATGAAGTGGGGTTAATATGGGGTGTTTTTACCGAAAAATCATAATCAATAATTATTTATTAAGTACTCATTGATTAAATTTTATCGATTTAACACTTATTTTATTAATATGGACGGAAAGAGTAGATTATCAAACTGTTTTTCTTGTATTTTTCGTCTGAGCTGATGCCACGAAGTCAAAGCACATATTACTATCTACACCTTGGTAAAGTTGACACACGATATTCACATTGAATTATTAGGTATTCTATTATTATTCGAGTCTTAAAGTTTAGTGACTCACTCATCCCCCTCCCGGTTATTTGCGAAAAGTGTAGTGTTTTATTGGATAAAGTACACAAATGGTCTCTCGACTATGGGGTTTTGCTTTGTAGAATCTTTTGACTATTAAAAGTTATGAAATAGTCTCTTAATTATAGGGTGTTATTTTGTTGAGTCTCTCTACTATTAAAAGTTAAAAAAAAATTCCCCTTAATTATATGATGTTGTTTTGTTGAGTCCCTTGACTATTAAAAGTTACAAAATGACCAATCGACTCTTCATATGTTCCAAACTTATCATTTTCTATTAAAAAATAGTGGTTGTTTGAGTTGGACGTTAACTTATTGAGTAGGATATGATAAAATATAATCTCATAATCGTATGAGATGTATTTTTGTGGATCGACTCTCTGTTTACATTATGTCATCGAACAAGTACTTGAAACATTATGTCATCAAGTCAGTGCTCGAAAACATCGGTACTAGTAGACAATATTAAAATATGATTTTTTTCATATCTCAATAAGTAGGTTATCGTTCAGTTTAGATAATCGTCAATTTTTAAATAAAAATGGACGAGTTTGAAACATATGAATAGTCGAATGATCATTTAGTAATTTTTAATAGTCACGAGACTCAACAAAATAGGGCCTATAGTCGAGAATTATTTTGTAACTTTTAATAGTCGAAATACTAAAAAAGCTAATGTCTTATAGTTGATAGACCATTTGTGTACTTTACCCTTTTTTCTATATGAAACTAATATATTTTTGGATAAACTACGTGGGTGGTTACTTTTGTTTAGGATTTGTCTTATTTTAGTAATTGATTTTGAAAAAGTTACGTTCTACTTACTTTTGTTTTCGACCTATTTTATCTTAAATCACCGAACTGTAGGCTTGTAAACGAACCGAACGAACATGAACGAGGGTATGTTCATGTTCGTTCGTTTAACTTTAACCGAACAAACAAACAAACACGAACAACTAAACGAACGATTTTTTTTGTCCGTTTCGTTCACTAAGAAATTTAGCTTGTTTGTGTTCATTAATGTCCGTTCGTTAAAATGATAAACGAACATAAACGAATGTAAACGAACATAAGCGGACGAACATAAAATTAATTGGGTTGGTATTTGAGGAGTTTTTTTCTTTCCAAATAATTTTAGGATTTATATATTTTTTAATTGATTTGAGTATTTTTATTTTGGTTTAGAATTAATTCAATTTTAAAATATTAATGGGTTTAAGGTTAAAATTTATTATGTCTTAATATTTCAAACAAGTCTAGAGATTGGCTTGGATATAAACAGGGATATATCGAGGGGGCGTGTGAGGGCAATCACCCCCTGAAATTTTAAAATTATCATATATTTTAAATTTTTTCTATGTATTTCCAATTGAAAATTTGTTTCGCCCCCTAACATAAAATTCTGTGGCCGTCCCTGGATATAAACGAACGAACATAAATGAATATAAACGAACGTAAATGAATGAACATATAAATGAACGGATTACCGAAAGTTCTCGAACATAAATGAATGAACGAGTCATTTGTTTGTGTTCGTTTATTTAATTAAACAAACATAAAATCTTGTTCATATCCGTTCGTTTAATAAATAAACAAACATAAACGAACTTCTTGCCGAACTATTCGCTGAATGTTCGGTTCGCTTAATAACATTACACATTAATAAAAAGGTGACCACCCGTGTAATTTACCCTATACTTTCGTTATTATTTGTGTGGCGTTCTTATAGGCCAATTTTACATCACACTATCCGTTTTTCTTCCGGCAACGTTTCGTTCTCACCAGAGTTGTTGGGTTTTCAAGGGGACCAACCCTTCACGAAAGAACATATTTGTTTTATTTGGCAAATGATGATATTGAGAGATGATCAAAATTAGGAATATTTATCGTACGAGTCGATCGCGAGTTGAATAATGATCGATTCATATTCATTAAAGAAATTGTTGCTCGACTCAACTCGTTGTTCATTAAGTTTGATAATTTTTTTCTCGACTTGTGCTCATTAAAAAAATTTATTGCTCGACTCGACTTGTTGCTAGTTAAACTCACTAAAATTTTTATCTTATTTTTTAACTATATATAAAATTTAGTAAATTAATAATTTAGTATATTTTGTTGTTGTTTATCAAAAAAATATTAAATTAATAAAATTATTAATCAGTACTTTAGCATCTTTCTTATTATATATTGGTAAAATAATAATTTTTAGTTAGACTTTCTTTTTTAGTAGAATAATTGCTTTAAGATAACTATTAAAAATTATAAAATATTAATGAATTATTAATGAACTTATCGAGTTAAGTTGGATGTTACTCTATTCAACTCGTTAAGGTCTCGAGTTAATCCGAATCGAACGTTGATCAAGTTTGAAATTCGAACAACTAACAAGATGTCCAACTCATTAAACATCCTGATCAAAATAATTACACACTTTCAAGAGAGTCAAAGAAAAAGAGAAATGGAATCAAGTTGAACCTCGAGCGACTCACAAACTGAACAACTCATTAAACACCTTTGATCAAAATGATTGTATACTTCAAGAATGGTTAGCTTTGTCGTCTTCTTTGAGATGATTGACATTCGAAGGTTATTTATAATTATTTCCCGGAAACACTGGGAAACTTCCTTCCTGGGAATTTCAACCCAGAAATGTCGATTCAATCACCTATGGCTTTCCTTTTGAGTTGTCGAAGTCATTCAACTTTTTCATGGCCTTATTGAAGCCCTAGTTGGAGGGTGAAAGTGGTCCCTGTAGAGAAGATTTGCAAGGATTCCCAGTACTGCCATTTTATTATAATACTTGCTACTTGCAGCCTGCACATGTCATTAGCCAAGTGGGAGCCTTGGTATTTGCAATCCGTGTGCCAATACAGTGTTTCAGAACAATAGTAAACGGTTTTCATGGACTTTGGCACATTCATTTCAGATTGGTCCAAATGCGCCGCCGTGCAGGGACTTTCTTAGAACCTTATCTCCAGTTCTGTTCTGTCTGCGTCAAGCATTTGTTTTATTTTAATCATTCGTAAGAAAATTCTTACAGCTTTATCTTCCAAATCTTCCTATATCATGCATGATTTCAGCATCCAACTCTTCATTAAGCTTTTCATGGCATTAATGGATCTTTCGTGCAAGTTTCTGTCATCTTCTTTAACCATCGCATTCCTCCTTACTCTGGCCGTCGCTCAACAACAACCGCCGCTACGCCATTTCTGTTTAAGCAACAGCGGCAACTTCACCGCGAACAGCACTTACGAGACAAACCTAAACGCCCTGCTGTCCTCTTTCTCCCGCGGCACACCGAGTAACAACGGCTTCTACAATTTCTCGTCAGGCCAGCCGGGGTCGGATAGAGCCAACGCGCTCGCGCTCTGCAGGGGTGATTTGAACCCGAACTCGAGCGATTGCTTCAACTGCATCAATGCGGCGAACGCCGAGCTTCGGATTCGATGTCCTTTCCGAAGAGAAGCGATCATCTGGTACGACCATTGCATGTTCCGGTACACGAACCGTTCGATCCTCGGCGTTCCGGAATTCACCCCGAATTTCGAGATGCAGAACGCGAATAACGTGCCCGATGCAAGTGCTTTTAATCAAGCACTGGGTTCTTTATTGGAGAACTTAAGGAATGTGGCTTCATCAGGGACTTCACTAGGAAAGTTTGCAACAGGAAGTGCACGAGTGACACCTTTTCAATCAGTTTTTGCTCGTGTTCAATGTACTAACGACTTGGCCGAGTACGGCTGCCGGTCTTGCTTGTCGCAGGCTGTCGTGTATATCCCTCGATGCTGCGACGGAAAACAGGGCGGCAGGGTATGCCTGCCGAGTTGTAATCTAAGGTTTGAGATTGTACGGTTCTATAATCTCACGGCTGCAGATACAGACGCGCAATCTCCCTGCCATCAAATGATCCCACCACAACTGGTAGGGTACCTTCTCAAAATAAGAGCAGTTCATCTCGAACTACTGTCATCGTATCGATATCGGCTGTTGCTTTCGCTGTACTCGTCATTTCCGGTCTCATCGTCATCGTGTTAAGGTCGAGGAAGGGAAAGCTGAAACGTTTAGAGCATGAAGCAACTGAATCCGTGGATGAAATCACAACTCCGGAGTCCTTACAATATGATTTCAACACCATTAGTTCAGCAACGAATCGATTTTCCGATGCAAATAAGCTCGGACAAGGCGGATTCGGGGCAGTTTATAAGGTATTGTACCAAATCACGAGTTCAATTACCATATGCTTGTAAATGATTCATTCTGATATGTTCTCAGGGCACACTTGCTGGTGGAAAACTAGTAGCAGTGAAGAGGCTATCCACAGGTTCTGCACAAGGAGACCTTGAGTTCAAAAACGAGGTCCGGTTAATGGCGAACCTTCAGCATCGGAACTTGGTTAGGCTCCAAGGTTTCTGCCTTGAAGGAACCGAAAGGCTCCTCATCTATGAGTTTGTGCCTAATGGAA